AAAGTTACCATTTGTGTTGGCTTACGCTTTTTTGATTCAACTTATTTTTGTATTGTTTTGTTTTGTTTTTTCTTAAATTTTTATAGTTTTCGTAATTACATATTATAGTAGTCGAGAAATTCGACGGATCTACGACGACTATAGCAGATTGGATCCAATCTGACTGGCTTCCACTTCTTCTTCTTCTACAAAAATATGAAAAAAAAAAGAAAAAAAATATTTGAAAAGGGAAAAGAAAGAAAAAAAAAAATAAACAATTAGAAATAAATGCTTATTAACCATACACACATACACAGGTAATATTGTAATATTTGAAAAAAAGGAAAGATGGAAATTTAATGTAAACAAAAACAATTAAAATAAATTATGATTAAAAAAATTAAAAGTTTGCACTCTTAAATTTTAATTTGCAGAAACCAAAGTATTTGTCGTATACTTCACATGCATGCATATGTATGTATGTATGGCTGTATGAATACATATATGTATGTATGTCTGAAAGCATGTATGTATATATATGAGCAAATCAAATATGTTTAGGCCATTTAACTGGCACAGTCTTATTTATGTATAAATAAATATATGTATATGTTTGTGTGTAGGTGATGGAACTGTCACCAGGTAAAACACATGCACCTGCATGCACGCATGCATGCATATGAAGCTCCCGACCGTATAGGCAATGATAGTTACATACATACATAACAGGAATATGTGTTGAGATTACATAAAGCAAAATAATATCAGAATACATTAATATAGGTATATCGGTAAATATAAATTATAAATATATATGTGTAAATAGAAAACGTTTTAGTTGGGAATGCGTTTGAAAGCCTTGCATCATGCATTTGTTTTTTGTTTCTTTCCACTGGTTACTGGTCACTGGGCAGGCGCTTGAGCATTGTCTTTTTTCAGTTTCGTATCACTAGGAATGAGATTACGTTTTGTGTAGAGCAACAGCGGTTTAAATGTTTCTCTCTCTGTATGTGTGTGTGTGTAAGTATATATGTATGTGTGTGTGTGTGTGTGTGTGTGTGTGTGTGTGTATCTGTGCGTACCAAGTACCAAGAAATTTCACACCGGATATAGCTGGAATCAATCGGTGATTGGACGAACGGACCAAGCGCAACACAATGATCGTATTGCGTGTAATGAGAAATATATGTATATATGAAGTTATAATATAATAGGTAGTAGGCAATAGGAATAGCAGGGCAGCTCACTCACACAGGCGCACACGCAGACGCACATATACATAAACACACGCGCACACGCACACGCACACTACTACTACTACAACAACGGCAACAACAACAACATTAACAACAACAATTAATTGAAGCAGAACTAAACTGTTGCACTGGCTGGAGGCAGTGGAGCGGCTGCCGGTATAACATTCGGTATGGCAACTACACAAGCGCCAGCACGTGGAAACGACATGGGCGCCAGCTCATTCCAGCCATTGCGCACCGGATCATATTCCTCGACGGTCTTCAAGGCATGATTGCCATCATAGCCGCCGACAACAATCAAACGATCGCCAAGCAGAGCACAGCCGATCGCATCGCGTCCCAGAGCCAGCGAACAAATCTGTTTCGATATTAGAAGTAAAAACAGTTAGAGAAACAGTCTATATAAGCCTAACTAATGTGGACTTTAACCCAAAGGATCTTACCAGTGTCCAGGTATCGTTGGCCGGATCGTAACGCTCGACGGTTTCGGTGCGACAGACCATGGGATTGCTAGCCGGGCAGTCGTGACCTCCGAGCGCATAGAGATACCCATTTGCAACAGTCACCTGCAGTAAGGAATACAGATTAGAACAATTACGATAGATTGCCAATGGAGAATGCTTACGCCAACGCCACCGCGTCGTCGATTCATTGGGGCGAGTAGTGTCCATTTGTTTGTGTGCGGATCGTAGCATTCGATGGAGCGATGGCAAACGGAGCCATCGCGTCCGCCCACTGCATAGAGACGACCGCCCAGCACCGCAACGCCAGCTGTTGAACGCATCGATGACATGGGTGCCACATAGCTCCAGGTACGGGCACTTGGATCCCAACTGTTTAAATATATCGATTACATTTGAGTTCATTTGCAATTGGCAATGAGAGGAATATCAGCTTACCGTTCGACCGTATTGAGATAGCTCCAGCCATCGTGTCCCCCCACCGCATAGAGCGGACCCTCGAGCACGGCCACACCCAGGCCATGACGTGGCGTTGTCATTGGATTCAGTGGCACCCAGGCCATTGTGTTTAAGTCGAGGCTCTCCACGGTATTCAAGGTCTTCAGACCGTCGCGTCCGCCCACCAAAATCAGCTTGTCCTCCATGACAGCGGCACCAAACTGCAGACGACGTCCGGTCATGTGCTTCCAGGGCGTCCACTTATCAAGACGGGGGCAGTAACTTTCGATTGTGATGGCGCCCTTGTGGGCATCCATGCCGCCCACAGCCAGGAGTCGGCCGACTGTCGATTTGCGGGGCGTTGTGCGTTCGGTGGCGATGCGTGAGCGCCGCTCGGGCATTAGGTGCCATTTTAGGGCCTCCATCACAAGCTGTTGGCACTCATTGGTGTTGCAGACGTTCTCCACGTGATCCATTATGAAGACTGGCTGCAGCAGTGGGAGGCGCACCAGAGCCAGCAACTCGCCAATGTACTGCTCACGGTTGGGGGCATCGTGGCGCACCCACGACATCAGGCTGTGGAAGACATCTTGCTCGGAGGGCACATTGAGATCATTGCTGCACAGCAGCTTGCCCAGTTGATCGGCGTTGAGCTGGAAGAACTCCTGATTTTGGCACACCTGCATGAAGTACTGGCAGGTATACGCCTGGGCCAGCCGCAACAAAGCCGTGCAGCTCTGCTGCTCTGCAAAGAACGCAAATCCCAGGCAGTTGGATGGATGTAGCTGGCGGGCCAAAAAGTTGCAGCAGGCCGTGACCACAGAGTTCAGCTGCAGCAGACAGGCCGTGGCGAGCAGCGTTTCCACCGTATCCTCGCGCAGCTCAATATACCCTGTATAGCAATACTGTACAAGCAGCTGCAGTGCATCGCCATGGACCTCGCCCAGGGTCACATCGTGCTCCGTGGTCTCGCGCAGCGAGCCCGTAAACATTGCTGAAAAGTATGCACTCGAAGCGGATAGCACCAAGCGGTGAGCAGGCACCCTATAAAAAAAGAATTTGTTTTAATTTATTTGATTAAAACAAATTTATTTCGACTCCGTCAATAACAAATTAATAAAACGAAATCAAATCATCTTCAGATAGCATGTCTCATACACAGTGTAATCTTCAACAAAAATCTTCTTCAATGGCAAAAATTTAATAATATGCAACAAAATCTTCATATTTAACTTGTTTATCATTTGCCTGTAAATTACATACGCTTTTACCACTGTACAAAGCACATCTCAATCACTCTGCCGCTCTCCTCAATGGCTGCATATTGCTTTCTCTTTCACACTGCCTTCAACAAGATCATCAGCTTGACACAGAGAGTGAGTGAGAGAGAGCGAGCCTTGGCGAGCATGCAAGAGTGCAATTAGTGTTGTGTTTACTGTTGGAATTGCGTTGCTGCCTTGGGAAACGGGTGTGCGAACGGACACAAAGAACCGACTGACAGTGCAAAAGGAGGAGGAAGAGTGCAGGGTATACGTATGTATATGCCGAATGGTGAATTGCTAATAAGTCATTTTTTTTGCTGGGATTTTTTTTTGTGTGCAAAAAATGTCTTTTTTTTATTTATTCTTTTTTTTTTTCGATTTTTGCGCATTGCAACAACTTTCCATTCTTTGTCTGTTTGGCTTGTTCACTTACCGTTTGCCATCGATGCCAGCGATGAGCACCACATCGCACAGCTGCTGGCTGTCCACATACAGCTGCATGCGCTTCAGTACGCTGTCCGCGTGATCGCGACAGCGAAAGAACTCGTCCTGGCTGCCAGCCGAATTGAGGCTAACCAGGCTGTAGTCTCGCGACAGTGATTCCAACGTATTCTCGGCTATCATCGAGATGTGGCCCGATGTTGAGGCAGTCGAATCGCGACTGGGACTCTCCTTTTGGTTCACATTCACAGATGACATTTTTCGTTTGTTGTTGTTGTTGTTGTTTTTAGTAAATTGTATTGCAAATTCTGGTAACGGTATGTCAGCTGTCCTTGTTACTTGCGTTTATCGTCCTTCTTAGTGCATGTCAATTTGTTGTGCGTTGCAATTGCAGCAGCAACAGCATCACCATTGGCAATTGTAGCAGCAGCAGCAGCAGCAGTAAATTTGCTAGCTTTCTTTTGTTTACGTTACGTTCGCGTCTTGAAAAGCTAACGTCCGCGTTGCACTGCCTAGTTTGAATGACTGTGAGGCTCCTGCTGTTGTTATGGCGCGTAGTAAGCTGTTGCTTTGTTTAGGTGCACTTGCATTTCTCGTCTCGCACACTTACACATAAAGGCGCAGACGCAGACACACACACACACATGCATGCACATGTACATAGACGCGTACACACATTCGCACACCAACTCCAACTATAACAGAGCTGAGACGTCGCGCTCGTTCGATGTCAACAAACAACTGCAAATTCAATAGCGACGCACGTACGATGCCTGTCGCAGTCAGCGTCGCTGCTTCTGCCTCGTCGCGCAGACAAAGAACTTTTACTGGGTCCGGGAATTGAGCACTGCTGCTGCTGTCGCTGTCGCTGCTGCACTGCTTTTGCTTTGCTTTGATTTGCTTTGTTTTTGCCTCGCTCTCTGCTTTGACCAATGGACGATTGCTACTGCTAGCTGCAAAAGCAATTACACAGGAAACACACATTCAAAATTAATGTCAATTGCGCACTGAAACTGAGTCCGTGACTAAGCATAATCCGCACACTTACACTTATCAAAAACAACTAACTACAGCTGTCTATTTATGTATTTCATTTGGCAAACAGCGGACCAATAATAACAAGAGCAACAACAATAACAGCGTTTGATGTTTTCATTTTGCTTGCTATCGTCACTAGTTACGGCGTTGCCAGCCAAAGCTCGACTGCCGGAGTTAACTGGACTTTGTCACAGCGTTACCATATATATTAAAATTGATAGCATCGCAAACCCATTCAAATAAATGACATTTGATAAACTAATAAAACTGACGACGCGTCGCACTTTGATACACACACACACACTCACTTATCAAACCTTTCTGTCCATCAACTTATTTCAGCTGATTAGCAATAACAGCGTTTACTCATTCACATTTTGTTTGTTTCTGCCGGCCAAAGCTTGACTTATGTTGTTAGCTCAGGCCACTTTGAGGTTTATAACGGCGTTGCCATATCCATAAAAATCCGTTTTTGAGCCCTTTAAAGGAAAAATGCAGTTGAAATTTGTTTGCTCGGAGTATAATTTTCATTTATTGGGATTGCTGCTTATATATATATTTGCAAGTACTTAAAGGCTTATTTTATGGTTTGCGAAATTGGCTGAGGCAGACCAACTGTGAACTTGGATAGATTCTCTAAGAACTCAATATACAGGGCATGCTCGCGAGCAGTTGCCATGTCCGAAAGCTTTCTAGCAAACTCATGGGTAATGCCCTTTTCTTCAAGCATTTCCAAAATCATGGTTTGCAAATTGTCATCAATTAGTGATGCATCAATGGTAAAACAGCTATCATTCCAACCGTGATTGTATAGCGATAGGTCCTGTATCTCAAATACTTCGTTCTCTTGAGGTTGCTGATCCAACGACTCCGGCTCCACGTCATCAAAAGCGCCTGGCTTGAATACACAAAATATGGAAAGCAGCAGATCATTCCTTCTAATGAGCACCTCAAATTTGGGTACACTACGAACTGGAGTCAGATCACCAGTTTCATCATTGCGACGCGGCACACTTTTGCTAACATTGAAGAATATGTTGATCCGTTCGTGCGGCGACTCTCTGATAAGCTCCACCTTGGAACCAGAAAAATGACCTGTGAAATCGTCTATCATGTATGGCGGCTCCAATTGCAATTGGACGCGGCGTTCCTCCAGTATTTCGCCCGTTACAAACTCAACCAAATTACGCTGTGTTGGGGTTAAGCCAATTGGCGTTGTTGCTGCCTGTTTTTCCTCTATTGGCAATGGCTTCTTTAAGGCTTCACCCTTCAAATTTTGGAACTGAAATGCACTTATCGAAATGGGGCGTTGGAATTTGGCGATGCGACAATTGGCCAACAGGCTTTGTCCCAAACGAAATACCTTGAGAGAATTCGACATTTTGGAAAATAAAAAAAAAAAAAAAAAAAAATTATATTTTCTTTAGGATTATGTGTACGAAAAAAAAAACTTTTTTCAGATAAGCCAGAAAATTTTGTAATGCTACAAGGCTAGCAAGTCAACGAATGATCTGGATATTAGGTACACCCAGAGCTCGACTGAATTTGATATAAAACTCCAGGCTTGCTTAGGAATTTGGTAAAACACACATTTGCGATTGTGAGTACGATTATTTGAACTTTTTTAATTTCTGTGTACCGATCATTATTCAGTTTTCAGTTTCCAGTTTTCAGTTTTCAGTATTCCACTCTTCTTTGTTTCTTTCATTGTGTCTACATGTGAGTGAGTGTTAAGGCCAGAATGTGAGTGTTAAGGCACGCACGCACCCACACATGGTGTATGAAAGTTGTGGAGCGACAGAGTGGGAAGTGGGAAGCGAGTTGATACAACAATTACAGACATACATACATACATATACATATACATGTATATAACATACAAATAAATAACGTGTATGTGTGCGAWAAGTGCGTGTGCATGTGAAATAAAGGAATGCTAATTAGTTGGGCGATGTATTGCGTTTCGGCGTCGATGGCGGCAAGTCCATTGTCTTGCACACCCAGCCCGATATATCAACATCCTCCGCCTCCGCTTTACGTATCCATGGATGGCTCTAGCAATGGCGATGTAAAGAAGAATTTTTTATTAATAGTAATAACAACAACAACATTATGCGTGAAAATAAACTTTGTCTCACCAGCAACGTTTTGAGATCGGCCCGCTCATCTGGCTGCTTTTTGAGGCATATGTCGACAAAGTCCTTGAACTCATTGGAGAATATCTTGTGTTCCAGCTTTGGCGGCGGCTCGTTAACAATATAATCGAGAAGCTCAAAGATTGCCATTACTTTTGGCTCAATTACCGTTGGATTGCCATCGTCGGCATTATCGGCAAATATGGCCTCCAGCATGGCGCTGTCCGGCGGAGGTATTGGATACATGCCGATAGCCATCTCAACGAGGGAAAGGCCAAGGGACCAAATGTCCGACTGAACCGAATAGTGTGTGCCCTGAAGTCGCTCAGGCTGCAATAATAACAATTAGATTTGGGTTTAATACAAGTTTTACTTATTATTTCAATTCTACTTACCGACATATAGCTGCGCGTGCCCACAAATGAGTTGGCCATCGAATCGATTAGTTGTCCCGAAACGCCGAAATCACAGATTTTGATCTCGCCGCTGCTATTGACGAGTATGTTGCTTGGCTTCACATCCCGATGGATAATTGCATGCTTGTCCCGCAGATAGCTGAGGCCCTTCAGCACCGCCAAGGTGATGCGTCCGAGTATTGATTCAGGTATGCGGCCGGCCCGTTTCAATATGAGATCAAGAGAGCCGCCGTCCATATACTCCATGCAGATACTTATCTCGCCATCGCTGTAGAAGGCTCCATAAAATCCAACTATGTGCGGGAAATTGCATTCGTGGAGCACTTTTAGTTCGCGCAGTATTTGTTTTTTAATCGCCGGCTTCACCTCCAGATGGATCAATTTCCTGGCCATTATCAAATGTGTGAGGGTGTGGCGCACTTTCATGACAACGCCGCCGTTTCCAGAACCGAGTTCGCCTAGCTTTTCTAGATCCTCCTCGGAGAGTTCGCCGATCTTTTCCTTTTGGCTGAGGAACACCTTGATTCGTTTGCGCTCCGTGTCGTCCATATCGAGGCCCTCCAGCGTTTCCGTTAATGCGTCGATGCTTGTTTTTGGCTTTCCCAGCAAACTATTTGTACTTTAATTTAACTTTTTAATGAATTTTTGCAGAACAAAACGAAAAGTGCTAACATTTTGGAGAGGGGTATTTTCAATGGCTTAAGGAATCAGAATCAATTTCGCACGCATTTGTATCTATGCACACGCAAACATGTACACACGCAAATATACATACATATGTATGTGTGCATGTAGGCGTTCTTAAGCGTGTTTAATTATTATATGTTCGTAGTGGGTGCGTCATTTTGAGAAGCAATAGCAACATCAATATGAACAACAACACCAACTACAATAAACACAGATCTGTCTCTATGCATTGTGGGCGGGTGGGAGGCATAAAATAAAAAAAATTCAAAATGTATATACAGAAAATTTAATATTTACTCTGTTCCCGATGCTGTTTTAAACGGAGGCGTTGGTGCCACCTGTGCGGCAGCAACAGTTGCATCTACATTTACCGGCGGCAGAACTAAATTTAGTTTATTCTTCGACATCTTGGCACTGCTCCACAGCAAAAAAAGTTTCTATCGGTCGTGGCTCACCGACGGTGCAAAGGGTGGGGAAGGTGGGAGGATTTCCGTTTAGCAGCAGTCACCGAGCGATTATGCAAATTGTATAATTGGCTATATACAGACAATTGGTATTTGCTTTATAAGGATTCAATATTGCAGTTATAGCCGGAAATTTCGCAAATGCTAATAATAGGGATGTAAGTACCAATAATTAAGCCGATTGTTGCGGCAAATCGATTCATCGCGAAGAGCAATCGATTGCATGCGCTATTCGAGGTACCTAAATGCATGTCGATCAATGTGAATGGCAAAAACAATCTGCAATTTATTGTTGTTTAAAACGGTAAACACAAAACGTGACCTTGCACTTTATTACGCAGTGCGCACCACTTGTGGCAACCAGAAATGAAGGATTCGCTGGTGCCATCTAATGGCGCCATTGACGAGTCAGGGATCAATAGAACCGACTATCAGAAAGATGCGCTACTTGGTTATGTGCTCAACCTGCAGGATGAACAGCTGGACAGCGCTGTGATGCAGCTGCAGGCTGTAGCAGAGGAACAAAATAATAATAATAAGAGTGATGGCGACTATCACCAATTGTCGCTCAACTGCATTGATTTGTTGCCCGCTGATGCGGCGTCATCGGAATTCTCTGAATGCTATCAATTCAATGCAGACGCGGCTGCCGCTGCCTCCGAGTTGGTTAACGTAGCTAACAAGGACTGCGACTCATTGGCTAAATTGGCCTACAATCTATATCGGTTGGCCAAGGACGATCACATCGTTATCGACCGGTAAATGAGGTTTCTTTCATGCATATCCGAGTTTAATGTATCTCTTGAACTTCCGCAGTAAGCGAAACGAGGTCGTCCGGACGAATGCCATGACTAACCAGAAGACCATCTATCGTTGCATGGATCCCATTGGCATGGGCATGCAGCCGGCTAGTAACAGTCGTTCCACGGCGATATCTACGTCAACATCCTCCAAAGCAAACGGTTCACGAAAACGCAGGGCGCCAACTGTTGCAGCAACCTCGAAAAGAACGACAGCGATTGCTGCGCCGAGCGGAGCTACAAGTAGTACTGTGAGCGAACCAACTCCAGCTGCAGATGCAGATTCAATTCTGCGCACGCGATCTGGGCGCATAATTCGTGCAGCCTTGCCCCAGCCGGCCACAGCAGCTGCAGGAGAAACGTTGGATTTGCTTGTGGCCGATTTGCGTGACAGAGATTATCGTGCACCAGCTACAGCGGTTGCTGCACCGTCTATGGCAACAGTTGACCTTTCGGTGCCAAAGGAGCGTGCCGTGCCACAGAGCGCAATTTGTCCGGGCTGCAATAAGATATTTCTGGGTCGTCGCTTGCAGCGTCATTACGTCAAGTATCCCGACCATATGCGACCATATGTGATCGCTCATCAGGAACAGCAACATCAGCAGCAGGAGCAGCAGGAGCAGCCGCAGCAACAGCAACAGCAGGAGCAGCAGCAACAGCAGGAGCAGCAGCAGCAGTTGCAGATACAACAGCTACAACACCAGCAACTACACCAACAATTATCGCAGAGCAATGTGCCAACACTGTTCGGTCTTTTGACCGGTCAGCTGCAGAGACACGCCCATCTCAGCGAGGAGCAACGTGCCGATCTCTTCCTGCATGAGCTGAACGACTTTGTAGAGCAGCTGCAGTTGCGCAGCACTCGACTCATCCGGAACACGTCGGGCTCGCACTTTGTGAACGCGCGCATAGCACGCGTGCTGGGCATACCCGAGGGTCAGTATGCGCTGGATATGTCGGCCATGGAATCGGCGCAGGCGCCCACACCGGAGCCGGAGACGCATGTGAGCGCTGTGGCCAGTACACGCAATCTGGTCGAATATCCAGGGCTCAGCATGTCCTTAGATGATACGCTGACCGACGAGGCGGCTCAACGATTGAATTTGTCCGCTGGCGGCAAATTGTTGCCTCCGTCCGAGGAGAGTCTGTTGCGTAACGTTGGCGATGATCTGATGCCGCCCCCGGTGGCTGTGGCCCCACCCACCGTCGGCCACGTGGCTGGTGCAATGCTGCCGCACTACGATCATGCCAGCGACAATGCCGTCGAGGCGCTCAGCATGAAAGAGACGCCCAATGCGGCTATATTGGATCTCAATGTGGACTTCTTTCAATTCAACAATAATTAGTCAAGTGCAAATATATATGCCTATATATTTGCGAATGACTTTATTTTAACATATAGTATTTAGAGACTTGTCTGAATAGCATAAACAATTAGATATAAAATGAATCTTTGCATGAAATGTACCTCAAATCTCTAAACACTAGAGAGCAAATATTAGACTCAAGGAAAAGTTTGTGTAATTTAGCAAATGACTAAACAATTGTGAGAAGCTTTATGGAAACCCTTATGAAAACCTCTATGAAGATTGTATATATAAATATAGACATATTTTGAAGACAACTTAGCTGAATCTTATATATGAACATACATATACATATATATAGCTAGCTGTTCTGTAAGGTTCTGTAAGGTCTGTTCTATAAGATTTCGATGTGGATTTCGATTTCTATTTTTCGCGTTAATAAACAATTAGTTACACGCTAAATATAGAAATGTAGAAACAGACTCGAACAGTTTACAATTTATTTGATTTCTGGCCATATTTTCGCACTACATTATTGGCTTGCCAATCCAAGACCCAATTCAAATCCAAACGAATCTCGAGCTGCGGTAAATTATGTCGCTGCCTTGCCTTTGAGTTTTCTTTTGTTTTATGTTTTGCGCTCTAGTTTTTAGTATGCCTCTTTCATTTTGTTTAGTTATTGTAGCTGTTATTGTTTATATTGTGTACTCGTATTTTATGCCCTCAGCTATTTCGGGAGCAGCAGCAGCAGCAGCAGCTTGTGGCTGTGGTTATCTGTGGGACATGGAGAGGCGACTGCATGAGCTGCCTGCTGCAACTGCTATCGACTCCAATGGCAAACACTCTCGGCTCCTTCCCCACCCCCGCCCGTTGGGCATGTGCATTAAGCGGCATTTGCCGTGGCTGCAACCACTGCCAATTCAATTTGGCTATTTGGCGCTGGCCATATTTGCCAAGGGTCAATATGATTAGGGCTGATGAGCGGCGATTGGATCGAAGTGTTTGATGAGCCACCTATAAATGGAGCTTGCGTGCCGAGCCGCGCAGTTAGTTGCAACATGAGATTCCAAGGGGATAGCAAAGTGCAACGGTTCCACCTGGCGGCCAACAGGCAGCAGCGCAATCACAAATGGAGTCACAAGCTCACTCACAGTCACAGTGACGACTCCCTGGATGAGGAGCAGACCATGTGCAGCCGCGAGGCAGCAGAGAAGAGCGTGAAGTATTATCTAAAGAACAGCTCACTGCACGGTCTCAAGTATATAGCCGAAGAGAGCATTACCATACCAGAGCGGTAAGTTGGATGATTCTCTGAACTAAATCTAAATATATGTAGATAGCTGGAGAGAGTAACTGGAAGGTTTGATCGAGTCAAACTAGTTGAGACCACCAATCAGAGTGAGAGAATTATATAATAGGTGAATGACCAAGGGGAGAAAGAGGGAGAGAGCGAAAGAGAGGGAGAGAGAGAGAGAGATGAGTGAGTGAGTAGAATGAGTAGGAGAGAGAGAGGGAAAGAGAGCGAAGGATAGCAGGTGAGAGATGGAGTTAGATATGAGGAAAAAAAGAGAGACAGACAGATATAGTGATCGATAAAATGAGAGAGGGTTATAAAGTGAATAAGAGAGAGGAAAAGAGACGGAGAGGGAGAGAGAGAGTGCGAAAGAGCAGTGAGAGTGAGGAAGGCAGAGAGGTAGTGAGAGTGAGATATGGCGAGATAGGGGAAAAGGAAGTAAGAATGATATAGTGTGTGTGAGGAAAGGAGAGATAGAGAGTGAGTGCATATTAGAGAGACAGAGAAATAGAGAGAGAGAGAGAGAGAGAGAGAGAGAGAGAGAGAGTGTGTACGAGCGAGAGAGTATAATATTTCAGTAAAGTCTTGAGCAGATAAAATCATCATATATACACATACATATGTGTATGTATATATATGTGTATGTATTAGCAAAATATATTATCAATAAACGATGTCAGCGTATTCTTTGGCATATCCTTCGTGCTGGTGGTCATTCTGTCGGGCTTCTTCATATCAAACATTTACATCAAATGGAGCGCCTCGCCCATCATCATCTCGACGAGCGCCAAGCAGCAGCTGACGAGCAACATTCCCTTTCCGGCTATAACCATATGTAATCTGAATCAGGCGCTGCGAAGTCGGGTTCAAAGCATCTCCAGGTAAGATATGAGAGGCAGGTTGTACTGCTGTAGGAGCTAATAATATGCCTGCTCTTCATTTTCCCTCTTCCTTTCCTTTTCTCCTTTTAGCACCAGCAAAAACTATTCGTTGCTTATGAATCTGTGCAGCAAGGATTACGATCAGACCATCACGTACATCGGCACCTGGACGTACTTCAAGGCGCTGCTGGTGGAGGTGGCCCAGCCATGCGATGAGATGCTGCTCCATTGCAGCTTTGGCTCACGCAAGGAGATCTGCTCGACGATTTTCAATTCCATTCTGACGGACGACGGGCTGTGCTGCACGTTCAATGCTCTCGATCCCATCTATTTGTTTCGCAACTATACGGACGATGTGCGCATCGAGCCGGCGGCAGAGAATTCAATATTCAAGGCCATTAACTGGACTCCAGAATCCGGCTATGCCAAGAATCTGCCGGAGTTCTACTACCCCCGGACATCTGGCGGCACGGGCAGTCGCATGGGACTCACCGTCGTATTGAATGCCTCGACCGCCGAATATTACTGCACCAAGTCCATGGGCAATGGCTTCAAGGTGACTCTCTCGCCCGTGCTCGATATCTATCGGTCCTATTCCATCTCTTTATATCTCTCTCTTTCTATTTTCTATTCCTTGTCTCTAATTCTCTCTCTCTCTCTTCTCTTTTCGTCTTTATTTCTTAATTTCTCTCTCTCTCTCTCTCTCTCTCTCTCTCTCTCTCTCTCTCTCTCTCTCTCTCTTTATATATCCCTTCCCTCCCGTATTTTCCTATCGTTAACCCCCTCGACTTCTCTCATCTTCCGCTCTCGTGCTCTCCCTCTACCTACCCCCCTCTCTCTCTCTCTATCTCTGTCTGCCTTTCCAGGTGCTGGTGCACAATCCCGCCGAACTGCCCAAGGTGACCAACTATGGATTTGTGGTTAGCGCCGGTCGCGAGGCACGCATACCCATTGAGCCGGTCTACGAGGATGCCACGCCCAGCATACGATCGATCAAGAAGGCGGTGCGCCGCTGCCTGTTCTCGGATGAGAACGATCTGTCCTATTATCGCACCTACTCCCGCAAGAACTGTGAGCTGGAGTGCGAGGCGAAGCTGCTGCTGCGCGAATGCAGCTGCGTGCTCTACTACCTGCCCCGGATAGATCCGGCTGCCCGTGTCTGTGGGCCCAACGACAACAACTGCACGAATCGGGTGCAGACGGAGATCGAGTCGTCGAAGACGAATCTCTCCTGTGAGAACTGCTGGCCGGGCTGCTTTGAGCTCACCTTCAAGTCGGTCATGACCAGCTCGACGATTGTGGCCGGGCCCAGCTACCAGAATGGCGAACAGCTGCCGGAGCGTCTCTTCAATGCCAGCCAGAATGGCAACATCAACGACCTAGCCATTCTCCACTTTTACTATCTGAACAACAACTTTCGCAGCACTACCAAGTCCGAAATGTTTGGCTTCACCGAGTTTCTGTGTAAGTCCAGGTCTAGGTCCAGGTTCAGGTTCAGGCTCAAAGCCAGGTCCAGGTCCAGGTCTAGGTTCAGGCTCAGAGCCAGGTCCAGGTCCAGGTCCAGGTCCAGGTCTAGGTCCAGGTCCAGGTCCAGGTCCAGGTCCAGGTCCAGGTCTAGGTCTAGGTCCAGGTCCAGGTCCAGGTCCAGGTTCAGGTCCAGGTCCAGGTCCAGGTCCAGGTCCAGGTCCAGGTCCAGGTCCAGCTCCAGGTCCAGGTCCAGAGCCAGAGCCAGAGCCAGAGCCAGAGCCAGAGCCAGAGCCAGAGCCAGGTCCAGGTCCAGGCTCAGAGCCAGAGCCAGGTCCAGGTCCAGGGTCCAAGTGATCCTCTAGTGCCGCACGATCATGACACATTGTTTTGCAGCCAATACGGGCGGCCTGCTCGGCCTGTTCATGGGCTTCAGCATCTTCTCTGTGATCGAGATCGTCTACTATGTGACGATGCGTCCCTTTTGCGCCTCTCGGACGATGCACGAGCGACGACGCCGCCGCCAAGCGGAGCTGCTCTGGTTGACGCCGGTGCGCCAGCGACGACGCCTCCATCTCCAGCTGCAACGCCCGCCGCCGCCATACAGCCAGCTGGGCAAGGCGAGGCCAGGCCCGAAGACCAAGCAGAGTCTGTGGCAGACGCTGCGTGCCGGCCGCGATCCGATTGTCTATCCCTATTTGGATTAGGATGTTGTTATCTCCACTCTTTATGGGCTCTTCGAGTGCAGCGGACGTGGCCTCAAGCTGAATAAATAAACCAAGGCGCAGCCAGGGGGGCCAATGAACCAATGGGAGGGGGGGGAGTCGATGGGGCTGACCGGAAGCGCTGCGCCCCATGCTGAGCATTTCAGGTTGGCTATCAAATGGCGCTAATCGCTAATCGCTAACCGCTAATCGCCACGCGACTTCAATTTCAATTTCAACGCCAGCCACAACAAATCACGAAACATTAAAAAAAAGAAAACAAAGACAAAAAAGTTTCTCTAGGCCAGCAATTCGTTGGCCATTTGACAGCGAGCTCGCTAACTTTGTCATCCGGTTGGTAATTCAATATGAGTGAGCAGCAAACGATTTCTTAAGCCCATCGAACTAGAGCCAGCCTTGAAGCGAAGGGCTTATATACAGTGATTGCTATTGGGTATTGTCATAATGGGTAATATAATGCGTGGATACCCTCTATCAAGATTGTATACGTTGGACTGCACGTCAGACGGAACAGAATAAATTCTATTTGCAATTGGCATTGCGCGCTTATGAGAATCGCAGAGTAGGGCGATTATCATGACCATAAAGAATTGCATTGTGAAGGAAGAGCTGTAAGATGATGGAAAAACTTTTTGTTAGGCTAGACTTGGCAGATTATGAATTACAGTAGAAACCGGTTATACCAATACTCAAGGGACCGTCGTTATGTATGTACGTTATGTATATTATAGACATCTCCAAATACAAATATATATCAGACATATATCCCAGATGAGATCTAAATGAAATATCTATAAATGATATTTCATTTAGATCTCATCCAAGATATATAAGACGAATATTCTGATTTCCAGACAAACGTATATGGTTATAGCGACGGTCCCTTAAGCATCACTATAACCAGA